AATGCTCTCTCGCAACTCACATCGGTCCACACCCAGCCCCACTCAAGCTTCACCTCCCAACTAAGGCGGTATCCTCCTCAGTTGCCCTGGGCTTCCACAGCACCTAAAGCTGAGCACATATTAGTGCTCAGACTGTCCAGGATGAGGCCTCTGTCTGCACTTGTCTAACCCACAGTAGCCCTCTTCCAGTGGTCACACCTGATTTCCCTTTGTGGGAATTTATCTTTCTCCCCTATCAGTTCATGTGTCCCAGGAATGGGTATGTGGCCGAGACCTTAGACAGTCACACTGATTAATTAAGAGGTAGACACTTGACCAAAGCTAGACAATCAGAATCAGCCCTGGAACTTTTGCTGGAACCATTGAATAAAAGCTCTTTTTTATTCCACAGGCATCGCTAAGCTGAAGCAATGTAAATTCAGAGCTGCTGGTAGCCTTACTTATAACCTTCAAGAGAGAAGTGAATTTAAAAGTGAGCCAACACAGAGGAACCAGGAAATGGAGGTTGACTGATATTTTTTAATATTTATTTATTTATTTGGCGGCACTGGCACTCGGGATATTCGTTGCTGCATGCAAACTCTTAGTTGCAGCATGTGGGATCTAGTTCCCGACCAGGGATCAAACCCAGGCCCCCTGCATAGATAGGGTGTGCGGAGTCTTAGCCACTGGACCACCAGGGAAGTCCCAAGAGATTGATTTTTTTGGGGGGGTATAATTGCTTTACAATGTTGTGTTACTTTCTGCTATATAACAAAGTGAATCAGCTATATGTATACATATATCCCCATATCCCCTCCCTCTTGCCTCTCCCTCCCACCCTCCCTATCCCACCCCTCTAAGTGGTCACAAAGCAACCAGCTGATCTCCCTGTGCGATGCAGCTGCTTCCCACTAGCTATCTGTTTTACATTTGGTAGTGTATATATGTCGATGCTACTGAGAGACTGATTTTTAATGACGTTATTTGAGCATCTGGATCCATCCGTGCCTGAAGCCAGTACTCTTGACTTTTAATGTGTGTGAGCCAAAAACACTACCCTCTTTACCTTATTTTATTTATTTATTTATTTTTTTTTCCGGTACATGGGCCTCTCACTGTTTTGGCCTCTCCCGTTGCGGAGCACAGGCTCCGGACACGCAGGCTCCGCAGCCATGGCTCACGGGCCCAGCCGCTCTGCAGCATGTGGGATCTTCCCAGACCAGGGCACGAACCCGTGTCCCCTGCATCTGCAGGCAGACTCTCAACCACTGCGCCACCAGGGAAGCCCTTTATCTTATTTTAATTTACTTAAGTCAGCTTGAGTTGGGTTTCTGTCACTTTTCACTGAAAGACTGCTGACCAGTATAGTGATTCACCTAGATGGTAAGCTTCCTGAGAGCAGGGATTGCCCACATGCTGCATGGCATGGCCAATAAACAGCTTGAGTAAATGTTCACTTGAACAAGAACCATACAACAGGCATTCTCTCTTTTTTTTTTTTCTGTCTGCACTGCATGGCATGCGGGATCTTAGTTTCCCAACCAGGGATCAAACCTGTGCCCCCTGCAGTGGACGCACAGAGTCTTAACCACTGGACCACCAGGGAAGTCCTTCTAATTCTTATCTGATACAAATAAGGCCCTCTGCTTCTCTGCAGTTTCTCTGAGGATGACTGATTCTCACTTTCTGAGTGGAATGATCTTGGTAAAAGAGTTATTCTAGGAACCCCACAGGCCTGAAAGAGACACTTTAAATCCACTAATCTGACTGATTAGTCCCCCACTGTACAGATGAGAAAACTGAGATTTAAGCTAAAAAGTGGTTGCTTAACACTACATGGTGAGTCACAGGCAGAATTAACTAAGACAACCCTCCCCCACCAGCGCAATCCCATGACTTGTAGTCTAGTGCTCTGGCCTCTGCCCCTTTCTTTTTTTTTTTTATAAATTTATTTATTTTTATCTATTTTTGGCTGCGTTGGGTCTTTGTTGCTGCGCTTGGGCTTTCTCTAGTTGCGGTGAGTAGGGGCTACTCTTCATTGTGGTGCGCAGGCTTCTTATTGAAGTGGCTTCTCTGGTTGCGGAGCACGGGCTCCAGGCACGCAGGCTTCAGTAGTTGTGGCACGTGGGCTCAGTAGTTGTGGCACACGGGTTTAGTTGCTCCACGGCATGTGGGATCTTCCCAGACCAGGGCTCAAACCCGTGTCCCCTGAATTGGCAGGCAGATCCTTAACCACTGCGCCACCAGGGAAGTCCCTGACCTCTGCCCTTTATTAAGCAAAGTAAGTCAGTCACTTAGCCAGAGCTCAGAAATCTCTAAGTAAAATACAATGAACTGCTCAACTCTGATAACTGCCCTTAGGGGTGGGGCGAAACACAAGGGAAAGAGCACTGGACCAGGAGTCATGGCTAGTTTACTCTATTACTGGCTGTGTGACTTTGGGTAAGACCTTTATGTCTCTAGGCTCAGTTTCCTCTCTCTATGATGGGGGTGGAGGAAGGCAGGGTTTGAAGGAGCTGATTCCTAAGATCCCTGAAATTCTATATTTACATGAGGGTTGTTGAATAGTTCATCAAATCCCCAAGATTAAACCCACATGGATTACAGAGAATTGGATGGATTACAGCGAACTGGAAGGCTAAGAGGTCAGTAACCCATCTGCAGACTACAAATCAAGGTTCAGGATATGGGAGTTCCAGCTGAGCATATATTCTTTCCAGCTCGCCTTTTAAGAGTAGAATGGAAATCACCTTCTGGGTACTGATAAATATAGAGATATGCCCCACATCCTACAGTTCTCCTTTCTCACTTTCTCCAAAATCTTAAAAGACCTCCATCTAAGTCAATTGGAGCAAGCCCACTAGAATGTCCACACTGAATAAATGCTGCCTTCTGCAACGTAGTCCTTTTGGGAGTTTGAACAATCTTCCAACGGGCCAGAAATTCCTCCCAGCATTTGTAACAGTCCTCTTGGGGAAGCAAACCAGCCTCAAGATTTTGCCTTCACACCTTGGCTTTCATCTCAAGTGACAGTTCTCATCTTGACCACCCATTGTGTTTTCTTCTTTTTTAATTTTTTAAATTAATTTATTTATTTGGTTGTGCTGAGTCTTAGTTGCAGCAGGCGGGCTCCTTAGTTATGGCTGGTGTGCTCCTTAGTTGTGGCATGCGAACTCTTAGTTGCAGCACGCATGTGGGATCTAGTTCCCTGACCAGGGATTGAACCTGGGTCCCTTGCATCAGGAGCGCGGAGTCTTAATCACTGTGCCACCAGGGAACTCCCATCCATTGTGTTTTCTACACTTGGCCATTTCCAAAAATCATAGTCCTCCTTTAAAAAATGGAGGTTTGGGACTTCCCTGGTGGCGCAGTGGTTAAGAATCCGCCTGCCAATGAGGGGGACACGGGTTCGATCCCCGGTCCGGGAAGATCCCACACGCTGCAGAGCAACTAAGCCTGTGCACCACAACTACTGAGCCCGCGTGCCGCAACTACTGAAGCCCACGCGCCTAGAGCCCGTGCTCCACAACAAGAGAAGCCACCACAATGAGAAGCCCATGCACCGCAACGAAGAGTAGCCCCCGCTCACCGCAACTAGAGAAAGCCCGTGCGCAGCAACAAAGACCCAATGCAGCCAAAAATAAATTATTTAATTTTTAAAAAAATAGAGGTTTCCCCTCAAGGACGATGTTCAAGAGTATACACACCACAATCCAAAGACAATTTCCTACAATGTTTTGAGGAGTGGAACCATCAGCAAGTGAGAAAACAGCTTCTTCAGGAGGTCTCTTTGAAGGGGCTGACACTTGTTGAATATCCTGAGGTGCTTATTTTGAAAAACCACCTCTGCTGCATGATCATCACATTTTCCCTTCTCTTTCTCAACCCTGGAAGGCTCTAAACGTTTTCCTTCACCAGCCTTCATCGGTCCTCCTCCTCCATCCCTGCCATCCCCTGGCCCAACTGTCCTCAGCCCAACTCTCTTCCCTGCCTGCAATTAGGCAAATGCCCAAGTTGCTGAATCTTCAAAATCTGTCTTCAATTGAAAGGTAGGCAGTGATGGGGGACTCTAATGGATCCTGGAAAACTGTCTCAGCAGTTCTTACTCCCAAAAGGCCCTTCTCTGGTTTTTAGGGCAAGGCGTCTGTCTTAACCAAACATTTCAGAGGGTCCCAGAGACTCATTCCCGCTAGGCATGGCACCAGAACCCTTCCTGCCTTGGTGGGGGTGGGAGGCTGGAGACCTGCTCTCCAGAGGCCCATGTTGCCAGGTGTTGTCAACCACCTACACTTCCAACATTGGACAGACACTACAGACAGCCTTCTCTTAACACCACCCTCCATCTTTTCCCAACTTTATAGTTTATAAATTACTCTTTCATGAGTTCTTGGACTCTTCTCCACTGTTTTACAGATGAGGAAACTGAGCCTCAGAGAAGTAAAGTGAAACATCCAAATTGATAACGTTAGCAAGTTAAAGGTCACTGTCAGATCTCTTGATTCCCCATCTCATTTTTTTGTTTTTAATTTTTTAGGTCACGCCGTGTGGCATGAGGGATCTTAGTTCCCCTACCAGGGATCAAACCCGTGCCCCCTGCATTGGGAGCACAGAATCTTAACCACTGGACCACCAGGGAAGTCCCTCATGCTTTTTTCAATGCAACAGAAATTGCTCACACCTAGAGTAACTCCTCATTCAGATAGTTATTTCACTTAAGAGCCAAGGGTCTCTTTCTCAGAGACCCTCAGAAACTCAGACATAATGCTCATCCATCAATAAACGCAATCTGCCCAGGTCCAAGCACACAGACCTACAGACCCAGTTCTAAGGCTATGCCCTCTGCCCCAAGGTGTCTCTCTCATAGAATCCCCTCCCCACTGGCTGCTTAGAGTCAGCGAAGGAGGTGTGTCTTTAGACAGAGGAGCAGAATCTGTCTCTGACTCCTCCAAGAAGGGGTCCTGGAAGAAGTCCCTTCCTCAGCGTCTGTTCTAGAAGTCCCACCCCCGCCCCTCCCCTACCTGCCAAGAGCTGCATCCAGGCGCAGATCTTGTAGACCGTGGCCGTGTTGCAGAAGAAGAAAAGAGCAAAGCAGGTGATGCAGCCGAGGATCAGCACCATGGAGAGCAGCACGAAGAAGGCGGCCGCCTTGAAGGCGCCGGACGGGATAGTGCTGAAGTCGGTGAACGAGCCGCGGCAGGTGAGCTCGCGGCCCGCCAGCCCGCTGCCCACACAGTAGTGGAAGAGGCCGAAGTAACCAGGCTTGGGGGTGCTCACGCTGTCGCCCACCCAGTAGGGCTGGATGAAGACCACCACGTTGATGATGGCGAAGCAGATGGTGAAGATGGCCCATAGCACACCGATGGCCCGCGAGTTCCGCATGTAGTGCTCGTGGTAGAGCTTGGAGGCCTCCTGCGAGGGCAGCATGGTGCCCGGGGGCGGGGCCGGCGGCGGCTTGCGGGGGCCGCCGGCCCGGGACCGACAGCCGGGCTGCCGGGCGGGAGCTGGGGACGCACGCGAGAAGCGACCCTAAGCCAAGGAACCCGCGAGGGCGGGGCCTGAGGCGGAGCTGAAGGGACCTGGGGGCTGGTATGGAGGAGCTAGGAGGGGGTCATGAGAGTATCGGGAAGGTGTCAGGGTAGGGGGAGTCTGGCAAAGATCTCCAATTCGGGGACATAGGAAGAGGCCATGTGAAAGTTGGGGGGCTGGGATGAGGGAGCTGGAATGAGCACAGGAGAGCTGGAGGCGGGGCGCTAGAAAGTGGTTACGGTGGCGTTGGGGAGGGGGCTTGGGGGCTGGTACCGGCGAAGTAAGAGGGGACCGTGGGGAGATGGAATGGAGGCTGGAGACCGGCAGCGGAGAATTAGCAGCGGGGTTTTACAGGGAGCTCGGAAGGGAATCTGGGGGCTGGTGTTCGGGGTAAAAGGAGGTCTGGTATTGGGTGTCTAGAAAGGGGCTGTGGAGAGGGGGGTGGGCGCTTCTACGAGGGGGTAAGAAAGGGATGTAAGGGGTTAGTGCCAGGGGACTGGGAAGGTGATATGGGGGCTGGGACAGGGAGGGCGAAGTGCAGGAACCAGGATGAGGCTAGAGGGACATCGGGGGCCGGAGCCGCAGGGTCTGAACAGGGGGCGGGGGGGTTGGGAGGGTCCCTCAGAAGACAGGGCTCGGGGGAGCCTACGTTTGGCGGGCCAGGGCTACAGGGAGAGAGGTTTTCCAGGCCAAGGGGACGAGGGACAGGCGCCGGCAGGCAGCCCGAGCCGCGAGGGGCGGGCAGTGGGCAGGGGCTGTCCCCGGGGCGCGGGGGAGCGGCCGGGCCCGGGTAGGGCCAGGGATGGGGGGTGGGGGGCGGCTGCCGCGCGCCCAGGCCGGACGCACGCGGAGGCTGCGGCCGCGGGAAGGGGGTGCGGGGAGACCAACCTGGGCCCGGTCCGGAGCAGTGGGTCCGGGACTGCCACGGCCTAGGCGCCGCGGCTCGGCGCTCCGAGCGGCGGCTTCCCGGGCCCAGGCGGCGGCCTCGGCGCGGCCTCCATCTTGCTCGGGCTCTCCCCGGGGCGCGCTCCCGCGCGGAGGCGCGAGCTCTCGGGCACCGGCGCGGCCCGACGGAGGCGCGTTCCTGCCGCCGGCGTGCGGGGCGGAGCGGAACAGGAAAGGGAGCTCGGGTGTCCGCCAGTCCCGGAGAGGGGTCGGCACGGTCCCTGCGGGTCCCCCAGCCGGAGCAGTAAACCCCCGCCACAGTAAGGCCTTCTAATTTGGGGGACCCCCCTCCTTCCGGCCGGAGCTGAGCGATTGTGGGTCCACGCAAAGCCCATGGGAACGCTGCAGGGGCAGAACAGGGTGTTAGTTCACCGCGTTTGAACTGATCCCTTGCTCCCAAATTACCTCGGGTACAGCCTACCACAGTGCCTGTCGAGTGGCACCGTTACGCTTCCAGTCCTTTGGGTCTTGGAGGCGTTGAAGGTTCCCAGAGTCTCCTTAGGAAATCGCCAGCATCTCTGGGAGAGGGAACCTCCTAAACTGTTAGCGGCCCACGCCCGCGGTGGGGATTCGTTGGCCGCCGGTGTGTGGAGCTGGGCCTGGATAGTGGGACACGGGGTGGGTATGGGGAACAGGAGAAAAGGAGGCTGGGGACGTGTTGGTTTCTCTCCCTACACTCTCCCAGTGCCTGGCATGAAGCGGACACATCAGGAGGGTGTGTTAAAGAACGGAGCATACCAGTCCAGGCAGTTTGCGGTTAGACCCGAGAAAATGAGGGGACACTCCAGGGGAGCCAGTGCAGGTCATTTCTTCCCTGCAGTGAAATACCTTTTGGCTTAGGATCTGCCAAGATGATCTGGGTGGTCATCCAGAAAGCTCTGACTACTACTTAACTGTCTCCGTGACCTTGCACTTGCTCTCTGAACCTCTATTTCCCCATCTGTAAAGTGGGCAGATTAAGCCCCACTTCACAGGTGTTGAGGGGTGATGAAAATAATCTCTGTTAGTAGGTTCCAAATACTGGACCATACACAGGGATCAGTCTGGTGAAATTTAGATCTATGTGCAAAAAACACACGTAATTATCATCATGTGAGGTTGCCACCTGTCTTTTTTCCCCGGGGTAGAGGGACTGTTTTTTTGTTTTGTTTTGTTTTGTTTCTGAGATGATGTACTTCCTGCCTTCCTGGTATAAAAAATTCCATTTTTTAAAGAAATGGTGATGACAGTTAATGACAGTTGTTCCCCCCCACCCCACCTCGCCAGTGGCTTTATTTGGCAAAATAAGAAACAGGCAGTGTTATTTCCTTCCAAAATTAAAAAAAAAAATGTGCAGTCCCCCACAATTTGGGGACCACAGACCCATGTGAAGTCATCTCACCTGAGACAGTATGTTCAATCAGTTTGGTTTCCCCTTCCACTGGTTCCTTGAAGAGGCATCCGGACAGTCTCCTGAGAACCCTAAGATCCCAGAAGCATGAGCTGGAAGGGGCTGTGAAGAGAGTCTCATTCTACACCTTCTCCCACTTGACAGATGGAGAACAGAGGCCAAACAGAGGGATTGACTTGTACAAAGAGGTGAGTCCATCCTACCAATTCAAGTGATCAACCTGATTCATTAATTTTTTTCATCCACCCAATAAATATGTGATAGGCTCCTGCAATGTGCCAACACAGCACTATGCTAGGTCCTGGGAGAAGATGGTGGGTAAAACAGATGTGGTCCCTGCCCTCCTGTAGCTCACAGCTTCATGGGGAGACAGAAGGTGCTGAGAAGAGGGGGGAGGGAAGTCATCCTCAAAGGGCACCTCAAAGTCTCCTTCTGTGGGTGCTCCTGGTGTGGGTACTGTTCTGAATATAAGTTACCAGAGCCAGAAGTTCCATCTTTTCTCCTTATTCTGCCATGAATTATTGTCTTTTTTCCTATCCTGCTGAGCCAAGCTAGGCACTCCAGGAAAAAAAAATCACAGAAGTCCACTTACTACTCTCTCTCCAGGGAAGAACTGAGAGTTCTTGCTAAGATGGGCCCCCAGCTCCCCACTGGTTGCTCTGTTCTAGCTCTGCAGAGCGATGACACCCTGGAGAGAGCTGCCTGCCACCCACACCGCTTCTGACATCAGTACTTTGTCTTTAAAGAAACTCCTTTCCCCCTCACTCAGGCCCTGGATTTGGTGAGACTCACCCTACTCCTCTCCAGAACCGGGCAAATGATCAGGCCTGGAGAATGAACATATTCCATTGTTCTAGACACAACGATTGCGTCTGGGTGGGCCCATAAGCCAAGCCAAATAGCTGAGAATGATATCCAGGTCATTTGTTGCAGTTTACGAGAAAGAGATTGTTCCCCGTTTACTGAGTTTGTTGAGCTAGGGCTTCAGCTTCAACCACAGGGGGGCATCTTTGACACCCCAAGCAGAGAGATTGTCTAAGAATAAAGTGAACACAAAGAGAAGCTAAGAAATGGAAAGAGACAGTCCTGGTGACATAATTTGAGCACCTGGATCCATCCATGCCTGAAGACCTGCTTCTAGATTGTTCTGTTAGGTAAACCAATGAATTCAGTTTTTGCTGAAGCCAGTTTGTGTTGGGTTTTTGTCACTTCCGGTCAAAATAGTCCCAAATAATTTACCTACATCTCCCCCAACCCGGACTGGTGTACTGGATTATTTATATTGTAGAAAAATGCCTGAAAGGGTGAGCTAGTCCTGACATATTGGAACCCAAAGGCAAAAATTTGAGGTGCATCTCTGCCACTGTATGACCTAGGACAATGATGCTACTCCTCACAGCCTCATTTTCTTCATTTATAAAATAGAGAAAAACATCCTTCCTTCCTACAAATGTTATGAGGATCGAGAGAGAATGCACGGAAAAGAGCTTTGTAAACTGAAAATGGCTTTATAAATGTAAGTGATTGTCATTAAATTTTAATAAGTGGCTTGCCCAAGGAGTAGAAATTATAGTGGTATTGGAAAGGCACTCTCAGAGCTATGAGTAGCTGGGACAGAATGTCTCCTCGTTTTCAAGACTAACCTTGGGGAGTCTTCCTTTCCTACAGAAAGGAAGTCTGAGAACTCTCCACAGGAAGAACAGAACAGAACAGTTGTGAGCTCAAGTTGGGAACTTTAGACCATAAGGCAAAGATGATCCTGGACCTGGATGAGAGAAGCCCCCAGGGCACTTCCAGCCAATATCCTAGCAGAGAAAGGTTTGTGACCTGTCAGATACCCTTATGCCTAAAGTAAATGTTCAGTTACCTTGAACGGTTATTAAGCTCTTACAGCATTCCAGCTCCCCTGATTTTTGCTTTAGACATATTATCTCATTTAATCTTCACAATAACCCTAAGAGGTAGTGTTATGGGCTGAATTATATCCCTCTCCCCCACCCCCAAATTCATATGTTCAAGTCCTAACTCCCAATACCTCACAATGTGACTATTTGGAGATAGGGCCTTTAAAGAGGTGATTAAGGTAAAGTGAGGTGATATGGGTGGGCCCTAATCCAGTATCACTGGTGTCCTTTTTTTTTTTTTTCTTGCGGTACGCGAGCCTCTCATGTGGCCTCTCCCATTGCGGAGCACAGGCTCCGGACGCGCAGGCTCAGCGGCCATGGCTCACGGGCCCAGCCGCTCCGCGGCATGTGGGATCCTCCCGGACCGGGGCACGAACCCACGTCCCCTGCATCGGCAGGCGGACTCTCAACCACTGCGCCACCAGGGAAGCCCACACTGGTGTCCTTTTAAGAGGAGATTAGGACAGAGGCTAGATGATGACCATGGGGAACATAGCAAGAAAGGAGCCACCTTCTGAGGGGCCTCAGAAGAAATCAAACTTGCTAACACCTTGATCTTGGACTTTTAGCCTCCAGAACTGTGAGAAGATAAATATCTGTTGTTTAAGCCACGCAGCCTGTAGTATTTTATAATGGTAGCCCTAGCAAACTAATACAGACGTGAACTATTTTACACACGAGGACAATGAGGTATGCCCATTTTACAGACGAGGACACAGAAGTTAAATTACTTGCCCAGGGACTTCCCTGGCAGTCCAGTGGTTAAGATTCTGCACTTCCACTGCAGGGGGCACAGGTTTGATCCCTGGCTGGGGAAGTAAGATCCTACATGCCGCGAGGCATGGCCAAAAAGAAAAAAAATTACTTCCCCAAAATCACACCTCTAGCAAGTGAAACAGCTGGTATTTATCCCTAGGTAGAGCCCACACTCTTAACTACCATGCCGTATAGATTATTCTGTAGAGTGGATCCAATTCTTCTCAACCACCCGGGTTTCCTTTTTATTTCCGTATCATGTGGTTACTGGCATCAGACCATCTGGGTTCAAGTCTCAGCTCTTCATTCCTTGGATTATAAGCTGTAAGGATGCTACATGTTCACCGTCCCATGGCAGAGACCAAGAGAATAGGCCAACATATCCTCAGAGAGATGAAGAGTTTCTTTTTTTTTTTAATGGCCGCGTTGGGTCTTCATTGCTGTGTGCGGGCCTTCTCTAGTTGCAGCGAGCGGGAGTTATTCTTCGTTACGGTGTGCCGGCTTCTCATTGCAGTGGCTTCTCTTGTTGCTGAGCGTGGGCTCTAAGTGTGCAGGCTTCAGTAGTTGTGGCACTAGGGCTCAGCAGTTGTGGTTTGCGGGCTCTAGAGCACAGGCTCAGTAGTTGTGGCACACGGGCTTAGTTGCTCCATGGCATTTGGGATCTTCCCGGACCAGGGCTTGAACCCGTGTCCCCTGCATTGGCAGACGGATTCTTAACCACTGCACCATCAGGGAAGTCCGAAGAGGTTCTTAATACTTTTAAGAGCCTGTGGTGAAAGTTATGCCTGTCTTTCTATGGTTTTCTTAAATCCCCCTCTTTTCTTTACAATGGTTTGAATTAGTTTTCTGTCTCATGTCCCTGAAAGAATCCTAAGGAAGGCCATTTCTTTCTCTTTCCTCCCTCAACCTCACACATTAAATCTTGCTCTTTGACTTGATAATCAAGTCATTCATTCCTTCAGCCACTCGGCTAGTGTCAGTGACATCTTCTACTTGACAGGTCCTTTGCTGTGCAGTGGGGACACAAAGATGAGGAAGACCCGGTCTCTGCCCTGGAGGAACTCACTGCCTAGTGCAGGAACAAGGAAACAGATGGAGTAGAATTAGAATGACAGAGGTTCACTCAGAGATTTTCAGAGCCATGTGAATGGGCTCGCTGGAGCTGTGATATTAAATGAGTCATTCAACTTTTTTTTTTTTTTTTTTTTTTGGCGGTACGCGGGCTTCTCACTGTTGTGGCCTCTCCCGTTGCGGAGCACAGGCTCCGGACGCGCAGGCTCAGCGGCCATGGCTCACGGGCCTAGCCGCTCCGCGACATGTTGGATCTTCCCAGACCGGGGCATGAACCTGTGTCCCCTGCATCGGCAGGCGGACTCTCAACCACTGCGCCACCAGGGAAGCCCCATTCAACTTTTGGAATCTCAGTTGTTTCATCTATAAAGAGCACATCGTTAAAAAGTATGTATTCTTTCATGGGTGATGAAATAATGGGCTCTGTACTTGAAACAAACTTTACATGTGAAGAATTTGTTCATTCAATAACAAGATGCCTTCATAGCTGTACCATGTCTCACCTGGGAAGTATCTGTTTTATTCAGAACTCTTGGGTTGCAAATGACAGAGACCCAATAAAAACTGGCATAAGCAGGAATAGGTTCCAGTAGGATCCAGCAGCTCATGTGATAGGGTTGGGAGTTAACATCTACCCATGGACCCTGCTTTCCCATCCATGGCTGGCTCCATGCCCAAGCAAGATCTTCCCAAGCCATGGCAAGATGGGTTTGCTAGCTTTGTGGTCAGAGAATGTGGTCTGTGTGATATTCATACTTTGGGGTCTGTGGAATATCACTTTGAGGCCTAGTACATGGTTCATTTTCATAACTGTGCTTTTAAAGAATATGCTTTCCCTGTTAATGGAAGGAAGTTCTTTCTATGTCTGTTAGCTCAAGTCTGTTCATTGCATTGTTCACATTTTGTAGATCATTACTCTTTTTTTTTTTCTGTCTGCTTGATCCATGCATTTCTGAGAAGTGTGTTAAAATCTCCCATTATTGGGACTTCCCTGGTGGTGCAGTGATTAAGAATCTGCCTGCCAATGCAGGGGACAGAGGTTCGAGCCGTGGTCCGGGAAGATCCCACATGCCGCAGAGCAACTAAGCCCGAAAATGTTGGGGAGGAAAATCTCCCATTATGATTGCTGATTTACCAGTTTCTCCTTGTGAGTCTATTGATTTTTTGCTACATATATTGAGACGAAGTTATTATTACAGATGCATACTAGCATTCTTTTGACTAGTATTTTCCTGAAGTATAGTCTTTTATCTTTAGTCTTTCTGTCATTATGTTTTTGGAGTGTCTTTTGTAAAAATCAAAAAGCTTCATAAAAAAAATCCAATATTAAAGTCTCTGTCTTATAATAAGTAAACATTGATCTGTTTACATTTATTGTGATTATTGATCAATGTGAACTTATTTCTACCATCTAATTTTGTGTTTTACATTTACTATGCTTTCTCTATGCATTTTGTCTCCTTCTAAGCCTTCTATTTTAATGGTTTAGTTTTCTTTATTCTTGATTTTGCTTCTCTTAGTTTGGAAGGTCTGTAATTCATATTTTGTGAGACATTCCCCACGAGAATCCTCTTGGTTTTCAATACCAGAACATCACACAACTTTCTTATCTCTCAATGCAACATTTTCTGGCCAATATTTAAATAAGAAAATTTTATATTTACATCCCTAAAACTCAGCACAATGTTTTAAACAGAACTCAGTGTAGGAAATAGCTCAAGCAGTATTCCAGCCACTATTGGTAGAATATCAGAATGAAGTGTTCTTTGTAAATTGTGCCTCCACATCAACAAAATGGGTGTGCATCTGAGATGTTGGTGCTAAGGGAAGTATCATGGTATCGGGCTGTTACACACAAGGCTCTCGTTTGCTAACAGCAGCATCATTTGTTTGGTGGTTAGGAAGCAGTGGTTTCTGGTTTTGCTTCTTGTGTGTAGTAAAATATACATAACAAAACTTACTCTTTTAACCATTTTGAAGTGTACATTCAGTGGCATCAAGTACAATCACAATGTGCAACCATCACCTCTTCCATTTTCAGAACTTTTTCATCATCTCAAACAAACTCTATACCTATTAAACAATAACTCCCTATTTCTTCTGTGTCCCCCAGCCCCCGGTAACCTCTGTTCTACTTTCTGTCTATGAATTGGCCTATTCTAGGTACCTTATCCAAGTGGAATCATACAATATTTGTCCTTTTGTGTCTGGCTTATTTTCCTTAACATAATGTTTCCCAGGTTCATCCATGTTGTAGCATGTATCAAAATTGTATTCTTTTTTAAAGTTACGATTTCATTTTATGTATATAATATATTTTGTCTATCCACTTATCTGTTGATGGACATTTGTGTTGTTTCTACCTTTTGACTATTGGGAATAACACTGCTATGAACGTTGGTGTACAAATAACCATTTGAGTCCCTGCTTTCAATTCTTTTGGCTATAAACCTAGAACTGAAATTGCTAGATCATATGGTAATCCTATGTTTAACTTCTTGAGAAACCACCAAACTGTTTTCCACAGCAGCTGCACGATTTTGCATTCCCACCAGCAGTGCCAAGCGTCCTAATTTCTCCACATCCTTGCCAACACTTGTTATTTTCTGTTTTGTTTTAATTGTCATCTTACTTGCTCTGAAGTAGTATTTCATTGTGGTTTTAATTTGCATTTCCCTAATGACTAGGGATGTTAAACATCTTTTCATGGACTTATTGATATTCGTACATCTTCTTTGGAGAAATGTCTATTCACAGCCTTTCTTCATTTTTGGATTGGGTTGCTTGTTTGTTATTGAGTTGTAGGAGTTCTTTATATTCTCAGAATATTAATCTCTTATGAGATATATGATTTGTAAATATTTTCTCCCATTCAGTGGGTTGTCTTTTCACTCTCTTGTTAGTGTCCTTTGATGCACAAATGTTGTAAATTTTGTTGAAGTCAGATTTGTCAATTTTTTCTTTGTTGCCTGTGCTTTTGTGTCATATCCAAGAAATTATTGCCAAATACAATGGCGTAAAGCTTTTCCCCTGTGTTTTTTTCTAACATTTTTATAGTTTTAGCTCTTATGTTTAGGTCTTTAATCT